ATTTCCATAATCCTTTCCATACAGGTTGTACTAGTTTGCAGCCCTAACAAACAGTGTATAAGTGTTCCTATCTCTGCATGTCCATACCAGCATTTGCTGTCTGGGGAATTTTTGATAAAAGCCATTCTCACTAGAGTTAAGTGAATATCACATTGTGGTTTTTCTTTGCACTTTCCTGATGATTAGAGATAATGAACAATTTTTCATAAGTTTGTTTGGCCATCAGTCTATCTTCTTTTGAAAATTTCAGTTCATGTCTTGTAATAGCTTTTGAAAAGTCCCTTTTTGATAATTCCATCAGCTATATTTTCTGGATTTTTTTTAAATGACTTTTTTCTCCTGGTTTTAAGCAACATTTTCCTGCTTCTTTGTACACCTAGTAATTTTATTATTGGCTGCTGAACATGGTGACTCTTACACTGTTGGAGATCTCGATAACAATGTCTTCCTTTTAAGTATGCTGATGTTTGTTTTGGCAGGTATTTAAATTACTAGCCAATCAGTTTGATTTCTTTTCTTTTCTTTTTTAGTCTAAGATAGCCTTTAAGGTAAGGCTAGTTTAGCCCTATTACTGAGATATAACCTTTCCAGGGCTTTTACTGAATGCTCCAGATGTCCAACAAAGTCTCTCTTCAATTTGGGTAGTAAGAATTTGAGTATCTTGCAGACTCACATGAGCTCTTGAAATAGTTCAACTTAAAGCTCCCTAGTAGTACTGTGCTGAGCCTTATGGAGCGGAGCCCTTCACATATGTACCTTAGGTATCAGCAATATACTCAAGCAGACCCTATGCAGATTTCTGAAGTCCTTTCTCTGGAGAGCTCTCTCCTTCTGATATTCTTCCCTGAAAATTCCATCCACATTAACCTCCCTGAAATTCAATCTGTCTCTACTCAATTTCACTAGACAGCCATGCTTTATATATCCTCCAACCTGTTCAATGGACAGAAAGTGCCTCGAGGCAGAATATAATGGCAAGTATAAGACTCTCCTATTTATTGCCTTCTCTCATGGATCACAATTCTGCACTGCCTGTTGTCCAATGCCTGAGAATTATTGTTTCATATATGTTGTCTGGTTTTCTGGTTGTTTGTGGCAGGAGGATAAGTCCATTACCTGTTAAACTCTCATGGCCAGAAGTAGAAATGCCCTTGTTTCCTTTATAGCCCAACACTATTGTTAAAAACTTCCTATTTATTAAGCCTGCAATATGACTGGTGATGTAAAATATAAAAAAAGAAGCTTCACATTCCCAGTTAATATTATGTTATTATGCAGATGAAATAATACTATGAATAAGTTTCAGAGTCTGAATATTTTTTAATTTTAAAGGATGAATTGGAAGTACCAGGAAATCCATTAATATTGTTACTACCCATAATGCATTCTCATCCTCAAGGGAAACAGACCAAATCCTTTTAAAACAGTTACATATTATACTCTATTAATATTTTATTCTCCTTTCTGATACTGCTGCTTACTGTAGCAATTTAACCAAACTGAATCAGTTTTATTATTATCATACTTTATTCCTCTTCTTATCTGAAAGTCTCTTCTATAAGACACAGACCAGAAAATAGAAAGGATGAACCCAAAATCTTGGTTGAAAGGACTATGACAGATACCCTTATCTACTGATAGGGCAAGGAATAAATTCATGGGAACAGGGTTCCCAGTGTAAGCTGACATTGCCACCTCAAGTAGACGTCAATCAATCTGTATTAGGTGATAGAGTCAGGATGTCCAAAGTTGTATTTTAGATCTGGAGCAAATGATTTTGTAAAAGCAGACTGATAAGATACAGGAGGAAGTTAACTATGCCAGATGGAATGAACTGATGAGAGCAATCTAATCATGGTTATTCATTTTGGAATTTTGTTGCTATTGTTTCTAACATTCTATTTTCTGATGTGAGAAAGGCTTTTTTTCTCTTAATCTTTCTCTATCTCCTATATTATTCTTGGCAAAACATTCTTTATATTTAGTATTTCGTCTCACCGACCCCTCAGAATTCAGGAACAAATATTTTTACTTTACTGCATCTCTACTTTTCATAGCAATGCAGTTATTTGCATAGGTTCAATAAAAATCTGCTCTATTACTGGGATATTAATTAGAAAAATTAATTTTGATTAATTTGATTAATTCTTGCTTATGCAATCAAGGCTATATCTAAAGGATCAAATTCAAGAATATGGCCGGCTGCAGTGGGTCATGCCTATAATACTAGCACTCTGGGAGGCCGAGGACGTATTTTCTCCTCAGGGTCAGGAGTTCGAGACCAGCCTGAGCAAGAGTGAGATCCCGTCTCTATTAAAAATAGAAAGAAATTAATTGGCCAATTAAAAATATATAGAAAACATTAGCCAGGCATGGGGGCGCATGCCTGTAGTCCCAGCTATTCGGGAGGTTGAGGCAGAAGGATCACTTGAGCCCAGGAGTTTGAGGTTGCTGTGAGCTAGGCTGATGCTACGGCACCCTAGCTCGGGCAACACAGTGAGACTCTGTCTCAAAAAAAAAAAAATCAATAATATATTCCATTCAATCAGAATAACAAGCCCCATGTCCTCCATGCAGGACCCAGATGTAATTGATATTTGTAATCAATACCTATAAGCCTTCCTAGTCTGGTATCTGTCATACACTGTCTCAGCACTATAGGTAGTAAGGAAGGTCATAGCCTATCAGGAAAAGGAGAGATGTTCTGCCTACATTTATAGGTATACAGATGAAACCTGGTGAAGATGAATTTCTTGTTTTGTAAATAATAGTGTTAAAAAGATCTCCACATGATAGGGACTATTAAACATGAAACTCTAGATTTTGTGTTATTTGGCTTTATTAATTTACATAGATGTAGTAAGAAGGGTCAGTTGATACACACAAGGTTCTTTGTTGTATAATCAGCAAATCTAGAGTGAGGTTGTGTTATATAACTACTCAGGCTATTAAATTAGGAGATTATGCAGGTTGGTATCTTACTTCTCTTTTAAATTTTTTTAAATTAAAAAATTTTTATTGATACACAATAATTTGTACATATTTATGGGGTACACATGATACTTTGATAAATGCATACAATGTACAATGATCAAATGAAGGTAACTGGGATATCTTCACCTCAAACATTTATCATTTCTTCATATTGAGAACATTTCAAATCTTCTATTTTAGCTCTTTTAAAATATACAGTAAATTACTGTTGACAATAGTCACCCTACTATATTATCAAGTACTACTAACTTATTCCATAGATCTAATTATATGTTGGTATCCATTAACCAATCTCTTTTCATTCCCACTCTACACACTTCCCAGACTCTGGTAACTATCATTCTACTCTCTACCTCCATAAAATCAACTTTTTTAGGTCCCACATATGAGTGAGAACACGGCAATATTTGTCTTTCAGTACCTGGCTTATTTCACTTAACATAAAGACCTCCAGTTTCATCCATGTTGCTGTAAACGTTAGGATTCCATTTTCTTTTATGGCTAAATAGTATTCTTTTCAGAATAGATACCTCATTTTCTTTATCCATTCATCTGTTAATGGGCACTTAGGTTGATTCCATATCTTGGCTATTGTAAATAGTGTTGCAATAAACATGGGCATGCTGATATTTTTTCCACATATTAATTTCATTTCTTTTGGATATATATCCAGGAGTGGGACTGTTGGATCATATGGCAGATCTATTTTTTGCTTTTAGAGGAATTTCCATACTGTTTTCCATAGTGACGGCTATCTCTGTTGCCATATATGCTAGCAATAAAAATGTCTGATGTCTATCCTACTGAGATGTTTATTTTCAAAATTAAATTCTCAAATAAGTATATCTGATTGATCAGAACGTAGGTCTCCCCTAGCCATAAAATAAGCTGGAAAATATACGCTGTTTTGTTTTCTTTAATTTACCATGAGAAGGCAGGCTTCATAATGTCATCAAATGCAAATCTGACTCTTTATCCACTTTAAAATACTCAAGGATAATTCTAAACTCTTTAACTTGTTACTTAAGCATGCCTATAATCTTTCTTCAACACGTTTTCCAGATTCTTCTCCCAATCTATTTCCCATCTACTCCTACCCTTCCCTTCTTTCTCTCCTTCCCTCTACCCTTCCCTGCTCCTTCACACACACACACACACACACACACACACACACACACACATATGCACAAGCATGCACGTGAGCACACATCCTTTCTTATTCCAGTATACTGTAATTTCTGAACCACATCACCACCATGGCCCATGGTTCCCTTAGTAATGATCTTCCTTCAGCTCAAATGGTACTTCTGCATAAAGTAAGTATTTTCCAACTTATTAAAGAGGAACCATTCATTCTTGCCTTAAAATTACACTGTACACTACACATGCTCTACATTTTACCACACTCATTATTAGCCTATACATCTATCTCCTTCAAGAATTTCCCATCCACATCCCTCAGACTCAGTTAGAAGTTGTTCTTGCACGGTCCTGAAGCACCTGAAATTAACTCTAGTTAAGCACTTACCACAATATATTGTATGTCTGTTTCTTATACTAGCCTGTGAACTCCATTAGGGTTGAATATGTGCTTATTCACCTTTATATTCCATGTGGCTAGTACCCAGGAGGTATTCAATAATGACAAGAAGAAGGAATCAAGAATAAATATGTTTCCTAGTGTGCCTCACCCAGGAACATGCTATGTACATGGTAAGCACACTATAAAAGTTTATGAAATGCCTGGGTAAAAAGGAATTGTAAGATAAGAGTAAGTTTATAAGTTTGTCTTCAGACTGTCTGGTGATATAGAAAGCAGCATTTAGACTCATTCGACTACTGAAAAAGCCTTCCTGCCAATGTTATAGTCCTGCTACCAAGCTGGGATGAAACTGTGTGTATACTTGCCCATCTTCACCTACGGCCTTTATCTTCAGGGGCAGCACACGATCTTGTACAAAAGAGGGATTCACTAAAGGTTTGTGGAACTGGGGTATATGTTTTACCTGTGGATCTACAAACCATTCGCCTGCATTCAGAGTTGACAGAAAGTTCCAATTGAAGAAGGCAGGGTGCTTAAAGGCAGCATCTGGCAGAACTTCCATGATATTGGTTGTTCTTCTCAGGTCAAAGTCATGCATCAGGAAAGGCACTTGATCAAAACTGCAGGCAGAGGTTGAAAAGAAGGACAAGGGTGTATAGGCTAAACTTAGCTACTCTGGCAGACAGGATCCCCAGAAAGCCCTTCAAGGTCACAAGTTTTACTAGCAATCCTTACTCCCTTTTAATCTCAGAAAAGGACCAAGTATCATTCATTTACACTTTGTTTCATAAAAACAAAAGACAAGATAATTCATTTCCAGCATACCTTTGCCATAAGAAAAATTAGAAGAAATTATTAGATAAAAAGGAAAATGATACAATTTGAATATTGCATCTATTCAAAAGACTTAAAGAGTACCGGAAACAATAAATATATCACTAAATATTTAAAACATGTTTCTCATTTTTGAAGAATTAACTAAAGCAAAAGTAATTAATAATAACAATGCATCATCCTGAGGTTCATGACAGCACCAGGTCTAACTACAGGAGAGGTGAAATGTTAGTGCACTGACTGAAGACATACTTTAGGCCAGATGTGGTGGCTCACAACTATAATCCTAGCACTTTGGAGGCTGAGGAGGAAGCACTGCGCGAGGCCAGGAGTTTGAGACCAGCCTGGGCAGCAAGACCCTGTCTCTACAAAATATAATTTTAAAAAATTAGCCAGGCATGGTGGTATGCACCTGTAGTCCTAGCTACTCAAAGAAGCTGAGGCAGAGGGATCACGTGAGTCCGGGAGTTTGAGATTGCAGTGAGCTAAGATTGCTCTACTGCACTCTAGCCTGGGCAATAGAGCAAGACACTGTCTCAAAAAAAAAAAAAAAAAAAAAACAAGAAAACAAAAGAACACCTTACACTTACACTTTACACAACAATGTATAATATTTAAAAGAGAGATGAGGGGGCAGAGCAAGATGGCAGACGAGAAACAACGCGAGAAAGAGTGTCTCTGCAGAAAAGACAGATTCTAAGAGAAATTAGAAGAAAGAAGCAAGCAGACAAGCATACATCGGACAAGGGTAAAAAGGAGAGGCACTGGAGATGATGGGAGACTCCGCCGAAGTTGCAGAGGAGAACTTGAAGGAGAGACCTCCTGAGTAGCCTGGAGACGAGCGACAAGGATAGGTGGAATGGTTAACTTTCCCCTCCCTTGCATCTCAGACTGCTGGTGGGCTCCCCAGTGAGTGGAGAGCCCTGCAGACACCAGACAGGAGACGGTCACTGCCAGGGAGAGCTAAGACGGTAGTGGACGCAGCACCAGGCTCCCAACACGCTTGGGGCAGCTCCGTGTGCACAGACCCGAGCCTCACGGCAGGCGCCTTATTGCTATACTCTCCCCTCCCCCATCCCTATTCACGGCTCCCAAGAGAGACAATATAGCCACCAGCAATAGGCATCTCCAGGGAATGGGACTTTCCCTTTTGGGGCCCTACAGCTGACTGAGGGGTACTCAGATGGGGAGCTCTCTACCCGCCAGCCCTCCCAGGTGCTGCTGGCTTAGTGATTCCAGGAGAATAGGGCAGATGCTGAGTCTGAGGGACATCAATAAAGCTTGGACACCCCATGGGTGAATTAGGACAGGCACTCCCCTCCCTGGTGGGGTCAGGGATTGAACTCCGGGGCCTAGAGGTCAGACCTGCAGACCAGATCCCGTGCACACATGTCTCGCATTGCCCGGGGCACAGAAGGGATAATGGCAAAAGAGCCTACGAAGGTGTGTATGCCTTTAAAGGCAGATCAGCGTGCTTGAGGGCAACCCTCCTCCCAAAGAAGGGCCCCGTGCCCAGCACAGGTGGTGATCCTGCGAAGACAACCTCCCAGCCCGCATCACACCCAGGGAAGACCGGGTGGCATGAGGTCTGGCCTGCTGGCAGAGGCCCAGGAGAAGCTGTGGAGTTGGGGAGGGTGGAAAGAAGCAAGGCCCGCTCCAGACTGCGGGTCTCCAATGGCCCCACCCCCACACGTAGACTTTCTGACTGGCCTGGGTCATTCCAGCCCCTCCTTGACAGCTTTTCCTGGAAGCAGAGAACAGAACTTTGACCCCTGCTAACAGCATTTGTGGTGCCTGAGGGCAGGCTTAACCAACCCAGCGGTGCCCAGACTCCCTTCAAGACCAGCCCTCACTGAGGTGGAGAAAAGGACACACCTGGAAGTCCCAGGGCCCCACCCACCACCTGAGGCACTAGAGTGCCTCTCCAGAGGAACAAGAGCTGGTTACAGGACTCCAAAACAACAGTGTAGCCTGCTCCTCCCAGCAAATTTCACCTACTGACAGGGAGGACATTCTGCACACCCTTTTCATAGCACCTACTGACTCATCATACAGGGTGTGGTTGAATCTCACCCACAAACACCACCTATTGGCTCAGAGACTAAACACTGCGTGTCATTACCCAAATGAAAACCTAAAGGTAAGAAGCAACAACGGATCCAGATGGGAAGAAATCAGTGAAGGAACTCTGGAAATATGAAAACTCAAAGGAGGCTAGGCGCGGTGGCTCACGCCTGTAATCCTAGCACTCTGGGAGGCCAAGGCAGGCGGATTGCTCGAGGTTAGGAGTTTGAAACCAGCCTGAGCAAGAGCGAGACCCCGTCTCTACTATAAATAGAAATAAATTAATTGGCCAACTAATATATATATATAAAATTAGCCGGGCATGGTGGTGCATGCCTGTAGTCCCAGCTACTCGGGAGGCTGAGGCAGAAGGATTACTTGAGCCCAGAGTTGAGGTTGCTGTGAGCTAGGCTGACGCCCAGCACTCACTATAGCCTGGCAACAACAAGACTCTGTCTCAAAAAAAAAAAAAAAAAAGAAAAAACGTATCTCTTTT